ACCCTGCCTAAAATTAAATTACCAAGTAGTAGAGCAAGGATTTACTTAAATCTAGGCAGTCAGATTTCCAAAGCCCACACTATTTTCGTCTTACATACAGAAGCACTGCAATTCCTGTTTTCTCTGACTCACAACTTAAGCACTGAGAATCACAAGGTTGGTGGTTCAAACCACCAACTGCTCCTTGGGGAAAAGCTGTACAAGCTCGCTTTAAGTTAAAATTGACTCAATGGTACTTTAACAGCAACAAAATGGTATTCAGTGGTTGTTTAACTACACATTTACAGTTTAACTAGCTTAACTACTGAGGAATTTTTACTTCCTGAAGAGATACAGCAAGGCAAGCAGTTTAAAAAAATGTTTTATTGGTGGCATTTTAGTTTCCTTAGTAATTTACTTTTCCTAGATTAAAATCTAAAAGTTAATTATGCTTTCTGTGGTAGAACAAGGTCATTCTGACCCTCTTTTGCCTCCGAAGCTGGACTTCATTTTGCTCAGATCAACCATCAACACTCATGAAAGCAGCAGTCAATAAATTAAATGACTTATTTGGGCAAATCTGTGTACAAGACCCCTTTAAAGTGTTCAAGAGTAAAGATGTCAGTTTGAGGATTAAGGTGTGCCTGACCCAATCCCTGCTATTTTCAATCACCTCATATGTATGTGAAAGTTGGACAATGAATTAAGAAGACCATAGAAGAATTGATGCATTTGAGTTATGGTGTTAGAAACACTGAAAGTACCATAGACTGCTAAAGAAACAAACGTGTCTGTCGTGGAAGAAGTACAGCCATAGCCAGAAAGCTCCTTACAAGCCAGGATGGCCAGACTTCATCTCTCATACTTTGGACATACAAACCAACCTTGTAGTCCAGTGCTTATCCTACTGTGGGACACTAGGGCTGAAATGCAAATTTGGGCAGGGAATGGACAGTGTAAAACTGGGATGAACCAGTTCTAAAGGAGGAACCAGTCACTGGGGAAGGACATCATGCTTGGTAAAGTGGAGGGTCAGTGCAAGTGAGGAAGACCCCCAACGAAATGGACTGGCACAGTGGCAGCAATGGGCTCAAGCACAGCAAAGATCATGAGGTCTGATCGTGAGGTTTTCTTCTGTTGTGCATAAGGTTATTATGTGTCAGTAATGACTTGATAGTTACCAACAACAGCTGGAAATTAGACAAAGGATTTTGTAGTCTTAAACAGGGAAGTATTGATGCCTCAGTAAAGCAAGATTTAGAACTGGTTCATGCCAGTTTTACACTGTCCATTCCTTGTCCGAATTTACATTTCCGCCCCAGTGTAGCAAAGTAGGGTAAGCACTGGACTACAAGGTTGGTTTGTACTGCAAGATTGGCAGTGAAAATCTACCAGTCGTTCCTCAGAAACTCTATACAGGTTTGCCATAGTTGGAACTGACTCAATGGCACTAAACAATAAAACAACAACCCAGATATACTGACTCAGAACCTACATTTTAACATGATCCCTAGGTGAGTCTTATAGATACTCAGGTGATTTGTATGTACACATAAGAATCTTATTAAAATGTAGATTCTTAATTAGCATACAGGTATGCATTAGTTACCATCCATAATACATTTTATGACATAGGATGTTATGTGATTTGAATGTTGTATGAACACCGTATGAAAACTTTATGGAGCCTGCTGCTGCCTCTGCTGCTAGAGCTGCTGGCAGAGGCTGGAAGAAGCACAGCCAGGGGTGGTGGGAGTTAGGAAGGAGAAAGAGTATGTCCAGCTCCACTGCCTACTCACCCACTCTCCAGACAGAGCCTGAGAACCCACACCTAGAGCCATGCCCTTTTCCTCACCTGTCTGTTTCCCATCTGCGGTCTAATGCTGCAAGAATCTGGGTTGATCTTTAAAACTAGTAGTGGGTGGTGGTGGTTGGTGGTTATGTGCTGTAGAGCTGGTTACGGCTCATAGAGACCCTGCATAAGGTTTTTGAAGCTTTAAATCTTTACGGGAGCAGAAATCTTCATATTTTTCCCCGCGGAATAGCTGGTCATATCAAACTGCTGACTCTGAAGTTAGCAGCCCAATTCATAACCACTATGCTACCAGAGCTCCTTTAGGGGTTATACTAATTAAGGAGTGGACATGCAAATTCTCAGCAGAGGGTCAAACCAGAATGAACTGGTTGGAAATCCTGCTGTAATCTGGTGAGATCAATCAAACCTTAGTTTCTTGAATTTCTTTTGGTAATTCTAGAAAATAACTCCTTCTAAGGTCCTTTTTGGAGTCCTGATGTGGTGCTGTAGGCTAATGCATCAGACTGCAAAGTCATGTGAACTGCAAGATCAGCAGCTCAAGTTTACCAGCTGCTCCTCGGAAACCCTATACAGAGTCGCTATGGGCCGGGATCGACTTGACGGCACTTAACAACAACAACAACAAGGTCCTTTTTAGTGGCACTATTGGAGGAAGACTCATTAATAACCTAGGATATGCAGATGATACAACCTTGCTTGCTGAAAGTGAAGAGGACTTAAAA